GCCGTGCCACCAGCCTGGAGCTGCCCATGGCCATAGAGCCCATAGAACCCCCCCCCCCAGACCCCCCATGGAGCCCCCCACCCCCAGTACCCCCCATAGAGACCCCTGCACAGACCCTTCATAGACCCCCATAGAGCCTCCATCCCCACAGAACCCCCCCATAGAGCCCCATAGAACCCATAGAGACCCCCCCCCCCCCCAGACCCCCCATAGAGCCCCATAGACCCCATAGAGACCCCCTCCCCCCCAGACTCCCCCATAGAGCTCCCCCACTAACCCCCAATGGACCCCCATAGACCCCCAAAGACCCCCCCCCTACCCCCCAATAGACCCCCCATAGACCCCCATAGAGCCCCCCACAGACCCCCCCCCCTCCCCACAGCCCCCATTTAGGCCTCGGTGCTGGGGGTCCCGATCCCAACCCCCCCCTTTTTTGCCCCCCCCCCCCCAGCCGTGCCACCAGCCTGGAGCTGCCCATGGCCATAGAGCCCATAGAGCCCCCAGACCCCCCATAGAGCCTCCATCCCCACAGAACCACCCATAGAGCCCCATAGAGCCCCCCCAGACCCCCATAGAACCCCATAGAGACCCCCAATACCCCCATAGAGCCCCCGCCCACAGACCCCCCCTCCCCACAGGCCCCCCCATAGACCCCCACCCCCAATACCCCCCATAGAGCCCCATGGAGACCCCCAGTACCCCCCATAGAGCCCCCCCCCCTCCCCACAGCCCCCCATTTAGGCCTCGGTGCTGGGGGTCCCGATCCCAACCCCCCCCCCTTTTTTTGCCCCCCCCCAGCCGTGCCACCAGCCTGGAGCTGCCCATGGCGATGCGCTTCCGCCACCTCAAGCGAACGTCCAAGGAGGGCCGTGGGCGGTCTACCGGTGGGCGCCCCCCCCCCCAAAAAAAGCCCCCTCCCCACAATGTCCCCCCCCTCCCCCCCCCCCCCATCCCTACCACCCTCCTTGTCACCCCCTATCAGATCCCCCCCCCCTCCTCCACACCAAGGTCACCCCCCCCCCCCCCCATTTCATCCCACCCCATTGTCCCCATTGCCCCCATTGCCCCCCATTGTCCCCATTGTCCCCCATTGCCCCCATTGCCCCCATTGCCCCCATTGTCCCCCATTGTCCCCATTGCCCCCATTGCCCCCATTGTCCCCATTGCCCCCATTGTCCCCATTGCCCCCATTGCCCCCATTGCCCCCAATGCCCCCATTGTCCCCATTGTCCCCATTGTCCCCCATTGTCCCCCCATTGTCCCCATTGCCCCCCATTGCCCCCATTGCCCCCATTGTCCCCCATTGCCCCCATTGCCCCCATTGCCCCCATTGTCCCCATTGCCCCCATTGCCCCCATTGTCCCCCATTGCCCCCATTGTCCCCATTGTCCCCATTGTCCCCCATTGCCCCCCATTGTCCCCATTGCCCCCATTGCCCCCATTGCCCCCATTGTCCCCATTGTCCCCATTGCCCCCCATTGTCCCCCATTGTCCCCATTGCCCCCATTGTCCCCATTGCCCCCATTGTCCCCCATTGCCCCCATTGCCCCCATTGCCCCCATTGTCCCCATTGTCCCCCATTGCCCCCATTGCCCCCATTGCCCCCATTGTCCCCCATTGTCCCCATTGTCCCCCATTGCCCCCATTGCCCCCATTGCCCCCATTGCCCCCATTGTCCCCATTGCCCCCATTGTCCCCATTGTCCCCATTGCCCCCATTGTCCCCCATTGCCCCCATTGCCCCCATTGCCCCCATTGCCCCCATTGCCCCCCATTGCCCCCATTGTCCCCATTGCCCCCCATTGCCCCCATTGCCCCCATTGCCCCCATTGCCCCCATTGCCCCCATTGCCCCCATTGCCCCCCATTGCCCCCCATTGTCCCCATTGTCCCCATTGCCCCCATTGCCCCCATTGTCCCCATTGTCCCCATTGTCCCCATTGCCCCCATTGCCCCCATTGCCCCCATTGTCCCCCATTGCCCCCATTGTCCCCATTGTCCCCATTGCCCCCCATTGCCCCCCATTGCCCCCATTGTCCCCCATTGTCCCCATTGCCCCCATTGTCCCCATTGTCCCCATTGCCCCCCATTGTCCCCATTGTCCCCATTGTCCCCATTGCCCCCATTGCCCCCATTGCCCCCATTGTCCCCATTGCCCCCATTGCCCCCATTCCCCCCATTGCCCCCATTGCCCCCATTGTCCCCATTGTCCCCCATTGCCCCCATTGTCCCCAATGCCCCCATTGCCCCCATTGCCCCCATTGTCCCCATTGTCCCCATTGTCCCCATTGCCCCCATTGTCCCCCATTGCCCCCATTGTCCCCATTGCCCCCATTGTCCCCCATTGCCCCCAATGCCCCCATTGTCCCCATTGTCCCCATTGCCCCCATTGCCCCCCATTGCCCCCATTGCCCCCATTGCCCCCATTGCCCCCATTGCCCCCATTGTCCCCATTGTCCCCATTGTCCCCCATTGCCCCCATTGCCCCCCATTGCCCCCCATTGTCCCCATTGTCCCCATTGCCCCCATTGCCCCCATTGCCCCCATTGCCCCCATTGTCCCCCCATTGTCCCCCATTGCCCCCCATTGCCCCCATTGCCCCACCCAATGCCCCCATTGCCCCCATTGCCCCCATTGCCCCCCATTGCCCCCAATGCCCCCCAATGCCCCCAATGCCCCCATTGCCCCCATTGCCCCCATTGCCCCCATTGCCCCCCATTGCCCCCATTGCCCCCATTGCCCCCATTGTCCCCCATTGCCCCCATTGTCCCCCATTGCCCCCATTGCCCCCATTGCCCCCATTGCCCCCATTGTCCCCCATTGCCCCCCATTGTCCCCCATTGCCCCCATTGTCCCCCATTGCCCCATTGTCCCCATGTCCCATTGTCCCCATTGCCCCCACTGCCCCCACTGCCCCCACTGTCCCCCATTGTCCCCCAAGTTCTGCAGTGTCCCCATTCCCCATAATGTCCTCAAATGTCCCCAATGTCCCCAATTGTCCCCCATTGTCCCCACTGTCCCCCGTGTTCTTCAGTGTCCCCATACCCCAATGCCTCCCACACCCCCCACCTCCCCCCACACCCCCCATAACCTCATAACCCCCCATAACCCCATAATCCCCATAACCCCATATCCCCCCCATACCCCCTTTAACTCCCCCATACCTCCCACACCCCCCCATACTCCCCATAAACCCCCCTTACCTTCATAACCCCCCCATATTCCCCACATCCCCCTCACCCCCCATATCCCCCCCTCCCCCCCCACACTCTCCATACCCCCAATACACCCCATACTCCCCATAAACCCCCCAATAACCCCCATACCCCACACACCCCCCATAACCCCATAATCCCCCACATCCCCCACACCCCCCATAACCTCATAACCCCCCATATCCCCCCACACCCCCCCATAACCCCCCATAACCCCCACACACCGCCATAACCCTCCATACCCCCCCATACGCCCCACATCCCCCCACACCCCCCATAACCCCCCCATAACCCCGTACCCCCCATACACCTCATACCCCCCATATCCTCCCCACATCCCCCACATCCTCCACACCCCCCATATCCCCTCTTCCCCCCCCACACCCCCCATACCTCCCACAACCCCCCATAAACCCCCTACTGTCCCCATCCCCCCACACCCCCCCTCCTGCCCCCCACACCCCCTGCAGCCCCCCGTGACGCCCCATACTCCCCATATCCCCCCACACCCCCCCACACCCCCCATATCCCCCCCACATCCCCATATCCCCCACACGCCCCATACCCCCCATATCCCCCCCTCCCCCCCACACACCCCCATACCCCCAATACCCCCATAACCCCCATAACTCCTACACCCCCCACACCCCCCATAACCCCCCATATCCCCCCCACATCCCCCATATCCCCCACATGCCCCATACCCCCCATATCCCCCCCTCCCCCCCCACACACCCCCATACCCCCATAACCCCATAACTCCTACACCCCCCACACCCCCCCCATATCCCCCAGACCCCCCCCCCCGCCCCCCACGCCCCCTGACCCCCTCTGCCCCCTCAGCTCCGCCATCCACGGCCGGGGGCTGTTCTGCAAGCGGAACATCGACGCAGGGGAGATGGTGATCGAGTACTCGGGGATCGTGGTGCGCTCCGTGCTCACCGACAAGAGGGAGAAGTACTACGACAGCAAGGTGCCGCCATGGGGGGCCGTGGGGGGCACTGTGGGGCACAGTGGGGCACAGTGGGACTGAATGGGGCACAGTGGGACGCAGTGGGGCACTGTGGGCCGCTATGGGACACAGTGGGACTCTGTGGGACTCAATGGGGCATAGTGGAGCACAGTGGGACACTATGGAACACCATGGGACACAGTGGGACTCAATGGGGCACAATGGGACACTATGGGGCACAGTGGGATTGAATGGGGCACAGTGGGACACATAAAGTGGACACTATGGGGCACCATAGGACACAGTGGGACACTAAGGGGCACAATGGGGCACTAAGGGGCACAATGGGGCACAGTGGGGCACTGTGGGGACACAGTGGGACTCTGTGGGGCACTGTGGGACTGAATGGGGCACAGTGGGACTCAATGAGACACAATGGGACTCTATGAGGCACTATGGGACCCTATGGGGCACAATGGGACTCAACGGGGCACAGTGGGACACAATGGGACACTATGGGGCACAATAGGACTCAACAGGGCACTGTGGGACAGAATGGGTCACAGTGGGACACAGTGGGACTGAATGGGGCACAGTGGAACTCTACGGGGCACTATGGGACGCAGTGGGGCACAATGGGACAGAATGGGGCAGAGAGGGACTGAATGGGGTACAGTGGGCTGGTATGGGGCTCAGTGGGACACAATGGGGCACAGTGGGACTGAATGGGGCACAGTGGGACTCTGTGGGACTCAATGGGGCACAGTGGGGCACAGCGGGACACAAAGGGACGCTGTGGAGCACAGTGGGACACTATGGAACACCATGGGACACAGTGGGACTGAATGGGGCACAATGGGACACTATGGGACACTGTGGGGCACAGTGGGCCCGCTATGGGGCACAATGGGACACGAAGGGACTGAATGGGGCACAGTGGGACTCAATGGGGCACAGTGGGACACAATGGGACACTATGGGGCACAATGGGATTGAATGGTACACAATGGGACACAGTGGGACTCAATGGGATGCAGTGGGGCACAGTGGGACTCAATGAGACACAATGGGACACAGAGGGACACAATGGGACACAATGGGACACAATGGGGCACAATGGGACACAATGGGACACAATGGGACACAATGGGACTCAATGGGACGCAGTGGGGCACAGTGGGACTCAATGAGACACAATGGGACTCTCTGAGGCACTATGGGACACTATGGGGCACAATGGGACTCAACGGGGCACAGTGGGACACAATGGGACTCTATGGGGCACAGTGGAACTCTACGGGGCACTATGGGACGCAGTGGGGCACAATGGGACAGAATGGGGCATAGAGGGACTGAATGGGGTACAGTGGGCTGGTATGGGGCTCAGTGGGACACAATGGGGCACAGTGGGACTGAATGGGGCACAGTGGGGCACAGTGGGACTCTGTGGGACTCAATGGGGCACAGTGGGGCACAGCGGGACACAAAGGGACGCTGTGGAGCACAGTGGGACACTATGGAACACCATGGGACACAGTGGGACTGAATGGGGCACAATGGGACACTATGGGGCACAATGGGACACGAAGGGACTGAATGGGGCACAGTGGGACTCAGTGGGGCACTGTGGGCCGCTATGGGACACAGTGGGACTCAATGGGGCACAGTGGGACACAATGGGACACTATGGGGCACAGTGGGACTCAGTGAGACACAATGGGACTCTATGAGGCACTATGGGACACTATGGGACACAATGGGGCACAATGGGGCACAATGGGACTCAATGAGACACAATGGGACACAATGGGGCTCAATGGGACTCTATGGGGCACAGTGGGACACAGTGGGACTGAATGGGGCACAGTGGAACTCTACGGGGCACTATGGGACGCAGTGGGCACAATGGGACAGAATGGGGCAGAGAGGGACTGAATGGGGTACAGTGGGCTGGTATGGGGCTCAGTGGGACACAATGGGGCACAGTGGGACTGAATGGGGCACAGTGGGACTGAATGGGCACAATGGGCCACTATGGGGCACTGTGGGGACACAGTGGGGAAACAATAGGATGCAATGGGACTGAATGGAGCACAATGGGACACAAAGTGACACAATGGTGGGACACAATGGGGCAGAGTGGGACTGAATGGGACTGAATGGGGCACTGTGGGACTCTGTGGGACACTGTGGGGACACAACGGGACACAGTGGGACGCTATAGGACACAATGGGACACAATGGGACTGAACGGGGCACAATGGGACACAGTGGGACACAATGGGGCACTGGGGCACAATGGGGACACAATGGGACACAGACTCAATGGGGCACAGTGGGGCACAATGGGACACGATGGGGACACAATGGGGCAGAGAGGGACTGAATGGGGCACAGTGGGCTGGTATGGGGCACAGTGGGACACAATGGGGCTCTGTGGGGACACAAAGGGACACAATGGGACTGAATGGGGCACAATGGGACACAATGGGGTCACAATGGGACACAATGGGGCACAATGGGGCTCTGTGGGGACACAGTGGGACACCATGGGACTGAATGGAGCACAATGGGCCACTATGGGGCACTGTGGGGACACAATTTGACTATGGGGACACAATGGGACACAGTGGGATTCAATGGGCCTCAATGGGGACACAGTGGGACACAATGGGGTCACAACAGGGACACAATAAGACCCCTCCCCAACGCCCCCCTTTAAACCCCCTGCCCCCCCCATCGCATGGCATCGGCTGCTTCATGTTCTGCATCACTGATGCTGAGGTGGTGGGGGGCACAGTGGGGCACAATGGGACTCAATGGGGCACAAAGGGACTCAATGGGACTGAATGGGGCACAATGGGACACAATGGGGTCACAACAGGGACACAATAGGACCCAATCCCCCCCCCCTTTAACCCCTCCTTGCCCCCATCACAGGGCATCGGCTGCTCCATGTTCCGCATCGACGATGCCGAGGTGGTGGGGGACACAGTGGGGCAGAATGGGACTGAATGGGGCAGAATGGGGACACAATGGGACTCAGTGGGGTCACAACAGGGACACAGTGGGACTCAGTGGGGCACAATGGGACTCAGTGGGACTGAATGGGGTCACAACAGGGACACAATAGGACCCCCCCTCCTTTAACCCCCTCCTTGCCCCCCATCGCAGGGCATCGGCTGCTCCATGTTCCGCATCAACGCCACCCGAGCTGGTGGGGGCACAGTGGGGCAAAATGGGGCACAATGGGGCACAGTGGGACTGGAATGGGGTACAGTGGGTCACAACAGGGACACAATAGGACCCAATCCCCCCCCCCCATTTAACCCCTCCTTGCCCCCCATCGCAGGGCATCAGCTGCTACATGTTCTGCATCGACGACGCCGAGGTGGTGGGGGGCACAGTGGGGCAGAATGGGACACAATGGGGCACATATGGGCCCCTATGGGGACTGAATGGGGCGCAGTGGGACACAAAAGGACACAATGGGACACTTTGGGGCACAGTGGGGACACAATAGGACACCATGGAACTGAATGGGACTCAGTGGGACTGAATGGAGCATAATGGGACGATGTGGGGACACAATGGGGACACAATCAGACTGAATGGAGCACAATGGGACACTATGGGCCCCTGTAGGGACACTATGGAACTATGGGGACACAGCGGGGTCACAACAGGGGACACAATAAGACCCCCCCAAACCCCCCCCTTTAAACCCCCTGCCCCCCATCGCAGGGCATCGGCTGCTCCATGTTCCGCATCAACGCCACTGAGGTGGTGGGGGGCACTGTGGGGCAAAATGGGGCACAGTGGGACACAATGGGACTGAATGGGGCACTATGGGGCCCTGTGGGGACACTGTGGAACTATGGGACACAATAGGACACAGTGGGTCTGAATGGGGCACAATGGGGCTCAGTGGGGCACAATGGGCCACTCTGGGGACACAGTGGGACTGAATGGGGCACAATGGACACAATGGGCCCCTATGGGGCACAGTGGGGTCACAACAGGGACGCAATAGGACCCCTCCCTCCCCTTTAACCCCTCCTTGCCCCCCGTCGCAGGGCATCGGCTGCTCCATATTCTGCATTGATGCCACCGAGGTGGTGGGGGGCACAGTGGGGCAGAAGGGGGCACAATGGGGGCACAGTGGGACTGAATGGGGTACAGTGGGTCACAACAGGGACACAATAGGAACCCACCCCCATTTAACCCTCCTTGCCCCCCATCGCAGGGCATCGGCTGCTACATGTTCCGCATCGATGCCACCGAGGTGGTGGGGGGCACAGAGGGGCAGAATGGGGCACAAAGGGACTCAATGGGACTGAATGGGGTCACAACAGGGACACAAAGGGACACAATGGGGACACAATGGGACCCAATCCCCCCCCCTTTAACCCCTCCTTGCCCCCATCGCAGGGCATCGGCTGCTCCATGTTCCGCATCGACGATGCCGAGGTGGTGGGGGCACAGTGGGGCACAATGGGACTCAATGGGCAGAATGGGACACAATGGGACTCAGTGGGGCACAATGGGACTCAGTGGGACTCAATGGGGCACAATAGGACCCCCCCCCCTTTAACCCCCCCCTGCCCCCCATCGCAGGGCATCGGCTGCTCCATGTTCCGCATCGATGCCGCCGAGGTGGTGGGGGGCACAGTGGGGCAGAAGGGGGCACAATGGGGCACAGTGGGACTGAATGGGGTACAGTGGGTCACAACAGGGACACAACAGGACCCCCCCCCCCTTTAACCCCCCCTGCCCCCCATCGCAGGGCATCGGCTGCTCCATGTTCCGCATCAACGACGCCAACGTGGTGGGGGGCGCAGTGGGGCAGAATGGGACTCAATGGGGCACAATGGGGTCACAACAGGGACACAACAGGACCCCCCCCCCCTTTAACCCCTCCTTGCCCCCCATCGCAGGGCATCGGCTGCTCCATGTTCCGCATCGATGCCACCGAGGTGGTGGGGGGCGCAGTGGGGCACAATGGGGCACAGTGGGACACAACAGGACACAATGGAACTGAATGGGGCACTATGGGGCCTGTGGGGACACTATGGGACTATGGGGACACAATAGGACACAGTGGGTCTGAATGGGGCACAGTGGGACTCAATGGGGCAGAATGGGACACAATGGGACTCAATGGGACTGAATGGGGCACAATGGACACAATGGGGTCACAACAGGGACACAATAGGACCCAATCCCCCCCCCCTTTAACCCCTCCTTGCCCCCATCACAGGGCATCGGCTGCTCCATGTTCCGCATCGATGCCACCGAGGTGGTGGGGGGCACAGTGGGACTCAGTGGGACTCAGTGGGGCAGAATGGGACACAATGGGACTCAATGGGGCAGAATGGGACACAATGGGACTCAGTGGGGCACAATGGGACACAATGGGACTCAGTGGGGCAGAATGGGACTCAGTGGGACTCAGTGGGACTCAATGGACACAATGGGACTCAGTGGGGCACAATGGACTCAGTGGGACTCAATGGGGCACAATGGGACACAATAGGACCCCCCCCCCATTTAACCCCCCCCCTGCCCCCCATCGCAGGGCATCGGCTGCTCCATGTTCCGCATCGACGACGCTGAGGTGGTGGGGGGCACAGTGGGGCAGAATGGGACTCAGTGGGGTCACAACAGGGGACACAATAGGACCCCCCCCCCTCCCCCTCCAGCCCCCCCCCCCCCGTTTAACCCCCCCCTGCCCCCCATCGCAGGGCATCGGCTGCTACATGTTCCGCATCGACGACGCCGAGGTGGTGGACGCGACGATGCACGGCAGCGCGGCGCGCTTCATCAACCACTCCTGCGAGCCCAACTGCTACTCGCGCGTCATCCACGTCGAGGGCCACAAGCGCATCGTCATCTTCGCCCTGCGCCGCATCCTGCGCGGAGAGGAGCTCACCTACGACTACAAGTTCCCCATCGAGGAGCCTGCGGCCAAGCTGCCCTGCAACTGCGGGGCCAAGCGCTGCCGCCGCTTCCTCAACTGAGGGGGGGGGGAGATGGAAAAGGGGGGGGGATGGGGAGGGGGGGGGTCTCGAAGAGGAAGAGGGGGTTGGGAGGGGGGGGTGGGGGGAAGGGGGGGGGAGGGCTCGGAAGCCGTTGTGGATGGGCGGCCGGCCAGCGTTGGGATCAGACTTTGGCTTGTGGATCGCCCGGTGGTTAATGGGATCAGACTTTGGTTTACGGGATCGCCTGGTGGTTAATGGGATCGTCTGGTGGTCATTGGAATCAGCCACTGCTTTATGGGATCGTCCAGTGGTTAATGGGATCATCCAGTGGTCATTGGGATCAGCCACTGCTTTACGGGATCGTCCAGTGGTCATTTGGATCAGCCACTGCTTTATGGGATCGTCCGGTGTTTAATGGGATCATCCAGTGGTCATTGGGATCAGCCCTCTGCTTTATGGGATCGTCCAGTGGTTAATGGGATCATCCAGTGGTTAATGGGATCGCCCGGTGGTTAATGGGATCATCCAGTGATAATTGGGATCAGGCATTGGCTGATGGAATCATCCAGTGGTCATTGGGATCGCCTACTGCTTTATGGGATCGTCCAGTGGTCACTGGATCAGTCACTGCTTTATGGGATCGCCTGGTGGTTAATAGGATCGTCCAGTGGTCATTGGGATCAGCCACTGCTTTATGGATCATCCAGTGATCATTGGGATCGTCTACTGCTTTATGGGATCGTCCAGTGGTCATTGGGATCAGCCACTGCTTTATGGGATCGTCCAGTGGTCATTGGGATCAGCACTGCTTTATGGGATCGTCCGGTGGTTAATGGGATCATCCAGTGGTTAATGGGATCGCCCGGTGGTTAATGGGATCAGACTTTGGTTTGTGGGATCGCCCGTGGTTAATGGGATCATCCAGTGGTCATTGGGATCGCCTGCTGCTTTATGGGATCGTCCAGTGGTCATTGGGATCAGTCACTGGTTTATGGGATCGCCCGGTGGTTAATGGGATCAGACTTTGGCTTGTGGGATCACCCGGTGATTAATGGGATCGTCCAGTGATCGTTGGGATCAGCCACTGCTTTATAGGATCATCCGGTGGTCATTGGGATCAGCCACTGGTTTATGGGATCGCCCAGTGGTCATTGGGATCAGACTTTGGCTTGTGGGATTGCCTGGTGGTTAATGGGATCGTCCGGTGGTCATTGGGATCAGTCATTGGCTTATGGGATCGTCCAGTGATTAATGGGGTCATCCACTGTTTAATGGGATCGCCCATTGTTTAACGGGATCACCCCGTGGCCATTGTGATCAGCCATTGGGTTGTGGGATCATCCAGTGGTCATTGGGATCATCCACTTGTTTATGGGATCGTCCAGTGATCATTGGGATCAACCACTGGCTTTTGGCATCATCCAGTGGCCATTGAGATCAGCCGTTGGTTTGTGGGATCGCCCAGTGGTTAATGGGGTCGTCCATTGTTTAATGGGATCGTCCAGTGGTCATTGGGATCAGCCACTGGTTTATAGGATCATCCGGTCCTCATTGGGATCGGCCATTGGCTTTTGGGATCAGCCATTGGTTTGTGGGATTGCCCAGTGGTTAATGGGATCATCCAGTGGTCATTGGGATCAGCCATTGGCTTATCAGATCGTCCAGTGATTAATGGGGTCGTCCATTGTTTAATGGGATCATACAGTGGCCGTTGGGATCATCTGTTGGTTTATGGGATCGCCAAGTGATTAATGGGATCAGACTTTGGCTTGTGGGATCGTCCAGTGGTCATTGGGACCAGCCATTGTTTAATGGGATCGCCCAGTGGTTAATGGGGTCGTCTATTGTTTAGTGGGATCATCCAGTGGTCATTGGGATCAGCCACTGGTTTATAGGATCATCCGTCCTCATTGGGATCGGCCATTGGCTTTTGGGATCAGCCATTGGTTTGTGGGATCGCCCAGTGATTAATGGGGTCGTCCATTGTTTAATGGGATCGTCCAGTGGTCATTGGGATCAGCCACTGGCTTGTGGGATCATCCATTGTTTAATGGGATCATCCAGTGATTAATGGGATCAGTCACTGCTTTATGGGATCGTCCAGTGGTCATTGGGATCAGCTGTTGGTTTGTGGGATCGTCCAGTGGTTAATGGGGTCAGACTTTGGCTTATGGGATCGTCCAGTGGTTAATGGGATCGTCCAGAGGTCATTGGGATCAGCTGTTGGTTTATGGGATCATCCAGTGGTCATTGGGGTCAGCTGTTGGTTTATGGGATCGTCCAGTGGTTAATGGGATCAGCCATTGTTTAATGGGATTGTGCAGTGGATAATGGGATCAGCTGTTGGTTTATGGGATCGTCCGGTGCTCGTTGGGATCCGCCATTGGCTTATGGGATCGTCCAATGGTTAATGGGATCGCCCAGTGGTCATTGGGGTCAGCTGTTGGTTTATGGGATCGGCCGCTGGTTTATGGGGTCGCCTGGTGGTCTTTGGGATCAGCTGCCGTTCTTGGGGTCCCCCGTTGGTCTTTGGGGTCGTCCATCAGACTTTGGGGTTCAGCCATCATTGGGATCCCCCATTAATCACTGGGATCCGCCATCAATTAATGGGAACCCCATTAATCATCGGGATCATTCATCGTTCTTTGGGGTCGCTCGTCAATGGGATCCCCTTTAATCACTGGGATCAACCATCGATTAATGAGATCCCCTATTAATCACTGGGATCAACCATCAGTTAATGAGATCCCCCATTAATCACTGGGATCAGCCATCAATTATTGGGATCCCCCCTTAATCATTGGGATCATCTGTCGTTCTTTGGGATCAGCTACCAATTAATGGGATCCCCTATTAATCACCGGGATCGTCCATCGCTCCTTGGGGTCGCTCATCAATAGGATCCCCCATTAGTCACTGGGATCCGCCATCAATTAATGGGATCCCCTATTAATCACTGGGATCATCCATCGTTCTTTGGGGTCGCTCATCAATGGGATCCCCCATTAATCATTGGGATCATCCGCCGTTCTTTGGGATCAGCCATCAATTAATGGGGTCCCCCGTTAATCACTGGGATCATTCGTTCTTTGGGATCGGCCATCAGTGGGATCCCCTATTAATCATTGGGATTGGCCATCAATTAATGGGATCCCCCATTAATCATTGGGATCATCCGTTGTCCTTTGGGGTCAGCCATCATTGGGATCCCCCGTTAATCATTGGGATCAGCCGCCGTCCTTTGGGATCAGCCAATTAATGGGGTCCCCTCTTAATCACCGGGATCATCCGACGTCCTTTGGGATCAGCCATCAATTAATGGGATCCCTCGTTAATCGCCAGGATTGGCCGTCGTTCTTTGGGGTCGCTCATCAGTGGGATCTCCCGTTAATCATTGGGGTCGACCATCAATTAATGGGATCCCCTATTAATCACGGGATTGTCTGTTTTCTTTGGGATCGGCAATTAATGGGATTCCCTATTAATCATTGGGATCCCCATGCAATTAATGGGATCCCCCATTAACCACTGGGATCGTCTGTATTCCTTTGGGGTTGGCCATCAATTAATGGGGTCCCCCATTAAACACTGGGATCAGCCATCAATTAATTTGATCCCCCATTAATCATTGGGATCATCCGTTTTCCTTTGGGGTCAGCCATCAATTATTGGGATCCCCCATTAATCATCGGGATCCTCTGTTGTTCTTTGGGGTGGCTCATCAATGGGACTCCCTATTAATCATTGGGATCAGCCACCAATTAATGGGATTCCCTGTTAATCACTGGGATCAGCCATCAATTAATGGGGTCCCCCGTTAATCACTGGGGTCGTCTGTTGCTCCTTGGGATCAGCCATCAATTAATGGGATCCCCCATTAATCATTGGGATCGTCCATCGACCTTTGGGATCCGCCATCAATTAATGGGATCCCTGTTAATCACTGGGATCATCCATCGTTCTTTGGGATCAGCCATCAGTGGGATCCCCTGTTAATTATTGGGATTGACCATCAATTAATGGGATCCCCCATTAATCATTGGGATCATCCGTTGTCCTTTGGGGTTGGCCATCAATTAATGGGGTCCCTATTAATCACTGGGATCAACTGCTGTTCTTCGGGATCTGCCATCAGTGGGATCCCCCATTAATCACCGGGATCATCCGCCATTATTTGGGATCAGCCATCAATTAATGGGGTACCCTATTAATCACGGGGATCCGCCATCAATTAATGGGGTCCCTATTAATCACTGGGATCATCTGCTGTTCTTTGGGATCGGCCATCAATTAATGGGGTCCCCTATTAATCACTGGGATCGGCCACCAATTAATGGGATCCTCCATTAATCACCGGGATCATCCGCCATTATTTGGGATCAGCCATCAATTAATGGGGTCCCCTCTTAATCATTGGGATCGGCCACCAATTAATGGATCCCCCATTAATCACCGCGATCATCCGCCATTATTTGGGATCAGCCATCAATTAATGGGGTCCCCTATTAATCACTGGGATCGGCCACCAATTAATGGATCCCCCATTAATCACTGGGATCATCCGCCATTATTTGGGATCAGCCATCAATTAATGGGGTCCCCTATTAATCACTGGGATCAGCCACCAATTAATGGATCCCCCATTAATCACCGGGATCGTTTGTCGTTCTTTGGGGTCGCTCATCAGTGGGATCCCCTTTAATCACTGGCCATCAGTTGGCCATCAATTAATGGATCCCCCATTAATCATTGGGATCGTCCATCGACCTTTGGGATCTGCGATCAATTAATGGGGTCCCCTATTAATCACTGGGATCGGCCACCAATTAATGGATCCCCCATTAATCACCGCGATCATCCGCCATTATTTGGGATCAGCCATCAATTAATGGGGTCCCCTATTAATCACTGGGATCGGCCACCAATTAATGGATCCCCCATTAATCACCGGGATCATCCGCCATTATTTGGGATCAGCCATCAATTAATGGGGTCCCCTATTAATCACTGGGATCAGCCACCAATTAATGGATCCCCCATTAATCACCGGATCCCCATTCATCACCTTTGGGATCCCCCGCCGTTTTTGGGGCCCCCCGCTGCCATTTGGGGTCCCCCCCCCCCCCCCCCTTTTTGGGGTCCCCCGCTCTGTAGATGCTGTGCAGCCCCTTTTTTTCTATGCACTTTTGGGGTCGGATTTGGGGTTTTTTTTGGGGGGGGGGGGGGTTGTTATTTTTTGGGGTCGGTTTTGGGGTTTTTTTGGTTGTTTTTTATTTAAGGTGGGGGCGGAGCGGCCCCAAATAAAGAGGAGCTTTGGAGAGCGGCGTGGGGGGCTGTGAGTGGGGGATGGGACCCCAAAGCCCACAGCGCCGCCCCAAATCCCACAAATGTCGGCCCCAAACCCCACAGATCCACAGCACTGACCCCAAATCCCATAAATGTCGGCCCCAAATCCACCAACATTGGCCCCAAACCCCATAAATGTGGACCCCAAACCCCACAGATCCACAGCATTGGCCCCAAATCCCATAAATGTGGACCCCAATCCCACCAATGTTCAACCCAAACCCCACAAATCTTGACCCCAAATCCCACAGATCCACAACACTGACCCCAAATCCCATAAATGCTGGCCCCAGACCCCAAATCCCACGAATGTTAACCCCAAATCTCTCAGACCCATAACATTGACCCCAAATCCCACAAATGTTGACCCCAAATCCCACAGATCCACAGCATTGACCCCAAATCCCATAAATGTCGGCCCCAAATCCCACAGATCCACAGCATTGACCCCAAATCCCATAAATGTCGGCCCCAAATCCCACAGATCCACAGCATTGACCCCAAATCCCATAAATGTCGGCCCCAAATCCCACAGATCCGCAACATTGGCCCCAAATCCCGTAAGTGTTGACCCCAAATCATACAGCATTGACCCCAAATCCCACAAATGTTGACCCCAAATCCCATAAATGTCGGCCCCAAATCCACCAACATTGACCCCAAATCCCACCAATGTTGACCCCAAATCCCACAAATGTTGACCCCAAATCCCCCAACATTGACCCCAAATCCCATAAATGTGGACCCCAAACCCCACAGATTCACGACATTCACCCCAAATCCCTCAGATCCTCAACTCTGACCCCAAATCCCACAAATGTTGGCCCCAAAACCTACAGCATTGACCCCAAATCCCCCCAATATTGGACCAAATCCCACACAAATATTAACCCCAAATCCTACAGCGTCGGCCAAAATCCCACAAATGTTGACCCCAAATCCCACAGATTTCACCCAAATCCTATAAACATTGACCCCATATCTCACATTGACCCCAAATCCCACAACTCTGACCCCAAATCCTTCAACATTGACCCCAAATCCCACAGATCCCCCAACATTGGCCCCAAATCCCAAAGCATTGACCCCAAATCCCACTAATTCACAACTCTGACCCCAAATCTCACAGTGTTGATCCCAAATCCCCAAAATAACGACCCCAAATCCCCAGAACAACCTCACATGTCACAACATTGACCCCAAATCCCACTAATTCACAACTCTGACCCCAAATCCCACGAATGTTGACCCCAAATCCCAGAATATTGACCCCATATCTCACATTGACCCCAAATCCCACCAATGTTGACCCCAAATCTCACAATGACCCCAAATCACCAAATAACGACCCCAAATCCCCCAACATTGACCCCAAATCCCCAAAACAACCCCAAATCCCAAAGCATCGACCCCAAATCCCACTAATTCACAACTCTGACCCCAAATCCCAGAATATCGACCCCATATCTCACATTGACCCCAAATCCCACCAATGTTGACCACAAACCCCAAAACGACCCCGAATCCCCAGAACAACAACCCCAAATGTCACAACATTGACCCCAAATCCCATAAATGTCGGCCCCAAATCCACCAACATTGACCCCAAATCCCACAAATGTTGACCCCAAACCCCACAGATCCACAACATTGGCCCCAAATCCCATAAATGCTGGCCCCAAATCCCTCAGACCCACGACATTGGCCCCAAATCCCATAAATGTGGACCCCAATCCCACAGACCCACAGCATTGGCCCCAAATCCCATAAATGCTGGCCCCAAATCCCTCAGATCCACAGCATTGATCCCAAATCCCACAAATGTTGACCCCAAACCCCACAGATCCACAACATTGGCCCCAAATCCCATAAATGCTGGCCCCAAATCCCCCAACATTGGCCCCAAATCCTGCAAGTTGTGACCCCAAATCCTACAACATTGACCCCAAATCCCATAAATGTGGACCCCAAACCCCACAGATTCACGACATTCACCCCAAATCCCTCAGATCCTCAACTCTGACCCCAAATCCCACAAATGTTGGCCCCAAATCCCACAGCATTGACCCCAAATCCCACAAATATTAACCCTAAATCCTACAGCGTCAGTCAAAATCCCACAAATGTTGACCCCAAACCCTGCAGTGTCACCCGAAATCCCATAAATGTTGGCCCCAAACCCCACAGACCCACAACATTGGCCCCAAATCCCACCAATGTTGACCCCAAACCCCACAGATCCTCAACATTGGCCCCAAATTCCATAAATGTGGACCCCAAATCCCACAGTGACCCCAAATCCCAAGGCGTTGACCCCAAATCCACAATTCTGACCCCAAATCCCACAAATGTGGACCCCAAATCTCACAGTGTTGACCCCAAATCCCCAAAATAACGACCCCAAATCCCCCAACATTGACCCCAAATCCCCCAACATTGACCCCATATCTCACATTGACCCCAAATCCCCAAATAACGACCCCAAATCCCACAATCACCCCAAATCCCAAAAATAAAGACTCCAGATCCCACAACATTGACCCCAAATCCACAACTCTGACCCCAAATCCCACAAATGTTGACCCCAAATCCCCAAACGACCCCAAATCCCACACTATTCAACCCAAATCCCACAATGACCCCAAATCCCAAAAATGAGGACCCCAAATCCCACAACATTGACCCCAAATCCCACAGTGGCCCCAAATCCCAAAGCGTTGACCCCAAATCCACAACTCTGACCCCAAATCCCACGAATGTTCACCCCAAATCCCAGGATATTGACCCCATATCTCACACTGACCCCAAATCCCACCAATGTTGACCCCAAATCTCACAGTGTTGACCCCAAATCCCCAAACAACGACCCCAAACCCCCCAACATTGACCCCAA